GAAATACTAAAGGAAATTATTCAGACTGAAAGCAAGTGACACTAGACAGTAATTTGAATCCACGCAGAAAAACAATGATCATTATGTCAGTAATTTGAAACACAATATAATGTATATTACTACTTCTTCCTTCTCTTAGCTGATTTAAACAGCAATTGCATAAAACGGTATGTATATAATTGCATTATTAAGCCTAATTCAATTAAAGTTCCTTGAAAGGGGCAGAGTGTTTATAGTTTTTGAAGCTTGATCTAAATCTGTCCTGGAAGAATCTCTGTTCTATAGATCAGGAACTGGGGGAAATTAGCTGGGGGAAACTCATTCTTTTCCAGACACCCCACCAGAGTTCTTCCTATGGTGTAGCAGCTGTGAGGAGAGAAAAGGGGGCAGTAGAACTGGTACTGCCACCCAGCTGTACCCACCACCAACTATACATATTCCACAGCCCAGAGCCAGGGAGAATAATATCTGCCAATAGTCACAGCTTTCAAACCTACCCTTAATAGTTCTTCCATTCTAGGATGCTGGGGAAGATGGGAGATGCCACTTGGCTACTGAGCCAACAGGAATAATTCTCCTGCAACACAGAGCCATGCAAAAAGCGGGGACTGAATTCTTTGCCAGCTGCCTCACCTAGATCCTCCCCATATAATGGGAATTGGGGGGGTGAAGGAACAGACACTGACATCTGTTTGCTGCCACCTATTCAATATAAACCTTCCGCAGCATGGATCTTTGAAAAATGCTATCATGTAATTTTCACTGGCTGCCAAATCCACCCCAAATAACTTTTTCACCCCAGGGAGCTGGGGAAGATGGGAATTACCATTCATGAGCCCAAAGAAAACATCCTCCCACAAGGTAGAGCTCTTGCAGCCCCTAAGTTCCAATGCAATGTCCTCCCATTGTTCATATCAAGTCTCCATATTTTTGCTGAATAAATGCTTCTCAGTTTGTTGTAATCTCTTTGGTCAATCTCCAGAGATCTTGAATGTTTTTTTTTTTTTTTTTTTTTTTTTTTTTTTTTTTTTTTTTTTTTTTTTTTTTTTTTTTTTTTTTTTTTTTTTTTTTTTTTTTGGCTAATTTTGATCAGCTTGATGGATACTTCTTCAGGAGGTATCCCCAGCTCCTCCACCACTGTTCCAGAAATCCCCAGAAGTTCTTGACATTTCATGAGGGCAAAACTTAAGGCACAAGGCATTAGTGGCTTCCTTCCCTTACCGGTTGTATGATCTTGGGCAAGGTTTTTAACCTCTCTGAACAGTTTCTCATCTGTAACATAAGGATAATCATAGTGCCCACAATTTTGGGGAGGATTCATTGAGTTAATCCTTGCTACGCACCTAGTCTAGTGCCAAGTTATTATTACTATTGTCACTATTTTTAACAATCCATGAGTTTATAACTTCAGAGTGTTGGAATCATAACCAGTCCACACAATACTTTCGTGCAAGTTAGAAAATGGCATTTGTCCTCAGGACACATTATTATTTGTCTTTCAAAATAATTATAATAATATAATGATTCTGTCAGAATAAGACAATTTTCTATCAAATTCCAGAAAATTTTTGAAATAAGCACACAAATCCACAATGTCTACAGTGTTAACACCTCCCTTTAAGGTTGGAGTGTGCACAGTCATGTGGCATGTGGTAGTCTTATGTGATGATATATGACCTTGCAGAGTGTATTAAAATCATTCTTCTTTCCAACAAGAAAATAATAAATGAAATTATTGATCTAGATGTAAATTTTTACTGTAATTCATAAATGGACCTATGCATACAAGTATACCCATATTAACAGTTCTGGGTACCTTTAGATGCTGAACACTGAAACTCCTTCATAGTCCGTACTTACTGGGCTCACAAACAGGAGGAGAAGGACTCCATTCATTACCAACTTCACAATGAATTACACTGCTGCCACTGAGAACAAAACCTTTTTCGCAGTTAAACACAATAGTGTCTTTGTACTTATAGATGGTTCTAAATCCAGAGACAATATTCCCATGTGGAACATCTGGCTTGTGACAGAAGACTTCTAAAAAACCATGAGAAAAACAAGTGGATTTTAAAAGACAAATGGTAATAAGGACATTATTGCTAATGCTAATCCAGTTACAAGTGCAACACAAATACCTGATGAATGTGTACGCCAAGTAGATAGAAGGGAAACATTTTAAAGCGAACACACACACACACACACACACACACACACACACACATATATTTGTGTGTGTACACATATGTATATTATATATTATATATACGTACTCTTTTTAGTACTAGTTTTTATTGGTGAGGAAGTTGAAGGGGTTATCTACAATTACGTCACAGAAAGACCAATGTGATGAAAACTCATTTTACTGAGGCTTTTAAAAGCTGAAATCATTTATATTATGTTAAAAATACATATAATATTATATATTTTATATATTATATAAATATATATAAATATATAGTGTTATATAATACTAATAGTATTATATATTATTCTATCTTTATGATATTTGATATTACATATGTATATATACATATATGTGTGTGTGTGTATAAAATATATGTGATTTCAGCTTTTACAATGAATTTCCATTACATTGGTCCTTCTGTCACCAAACTGCAGACAATGGGCTCAGGTTGCTACCCGATAGGATGTGTTCTTCCAGGCCCTTGGTCCCTCACTTACCCAAGAATGAAGAAGGGGACCCCGCTGGGTGTGGTGAGCTCGTTCAAGTAAATATCAGGCCTCAAAGAGTTTTGCAGAAAGTGATGTATTTAGGCAGAGAGAGAAAAAGAAATAGAGAGAGCTCCCACGCTGTTGTCATGGGAGGGGATCCAGAGATGGAGTCCGCACTGATGAGAGGAAAGAGGGCTTTAAACCTGGGAGTTATTCCCGCCCTATTCAAGCTTTCTGTCCTATGAAAGGAGTTCCTTTAAACTTCTGCTGGAGTGATGGACCTTTGATTTCTGGGCAGTCTATCTCCCTGCACGTGGTAAAGTTAAACAAAGACCTCTAAGCTCCCTGAATGGCGACATGAAAGAAAGCAAGTCCAGCATGTCGCTAGGAAGTTCCTGCCTTTGAAACCACGCCCCCTTGTGGGCACAGGAAGAAAAGTTAATTACATTCCCTCACTTCTTTGAGATGATTGTGCCTAACTCCTCCAACTTCCCTACCAATAAAAATCAGTCATACATAACCCAGCAGAAACATATTTCCAAAACCCCCAAAACTTTCAGTATAATGGCCTAATTTCCTAAACGATTTTGGTTATGGGTCAGTGGTCTGTGGCAATTACATAGTGCAGTGGTAGCCAGGGAATCAGAGACCCATCCCCCAACAAGCAGAGAACAAACTGCCCCCATCCCACACCCCTGACCCCACATCTGGCAGTCAGCCAGTCCTGTCAATTCTGCCACTTTAATTCCTCTACAATCCCTTAACTTCTCTCCAGCCCCACTGCCATGCTACCACTGAAGCCACCTTCAGTTTTTGCCTGGAGGTTTGCACAGGTGCTGTCTTAGTCTGTTCCTACTGCTATAACAAAATTCTTTAGGCTACGTGTTTACAAATAATGGAAATGTATTTCTCACAGTTCTTGAGGCTGGGAAGTTCAAGATCTAGGCACCATCAGACTGAATGTCTGCTTGCTGTCTCCTTTCAAGATGGTGCTTTCTTGCTGCATCCTCACATGGGGGAAGGAATGAAGGCTCTGTCCTCACAAGGCAGAAAGGCAAAAGAGACTAGGGCTCTCCCATCAACCTCTTTTATAAGGGCACTAATCTCATTCATGAGGGTGGATCCCTTGTGACTTAATCACTTCCCCAAAGCTTCTGCCTATTAAAAAGATCACATTGGGTCTTTGGTTCTAACATAAGTTTGAAGGGACACATTCAAGCCATAGCAGGTCCTTATCAGTTAAGTGTTGTCCCACTTCAGGTTATTGTTTATCCCACAGCCAGAGTTATCTTTCTAAAATGCAGCACATTTATTCCCCTGGTTAAAGCCTTTCAAAGTCTCCCCTTCATGATTGTTCTGAGCTCCTGAGACTGAAACACAAGGCCTTTCATAATCCGATTCCTGCTAATTTTTCCAGGCTCAGCTATTGCCACTTCCATTTCTTGCAGACCTAACTCCAGGCATTTTGCACTGTTGGCAGTATCTTGCTCTTTTGTGACCCAGTCTGATTGTGTCCCGTGGTGGGTTAGTAAACAATACTATGTAAACTTAACAGTAAAGTAAGATGCCTCAGACAAGCACACTAACATATCTTTTGACTCAATTATCACTTGTTTTGTTCTGTTGTTCTTCTGGTGCTTAGTAGGTTTTGCTTGCCCTACAGGGGTATGTGTTTCATCTTACAGATGCAAATTATATTTTCAGTTCTTCTTCTTGAACAGACCAAGACTACATTCGCCAGTCCTCTGCAACTACTCTCTAGGTCTAGACAACAAGCTGTAATGGAAAGTGATATGTGGTCACTTCTAGGCCAAAGCTCTTAGCCAGGACACAATTGGCCTTTCTTTCTTCCTCTACTGAAGAGATTGGGAAAGCACACTTTGAAAGGGAGGTGCAATAAGATCAAAGCAACCTGGTCTGCTGAGCTGGTTGCTAAGCTAACACAGACTACAGCTGCCCTGGAGAGTCTCCTAGACATGGAACAAACTCAGTATGAATGAGAATAAACTTTTACTTTACCAAATCGGTGAGATGTTGCTGCTATTTGTTCCCATTCACCATTAGCTCCCAGTTCACTTTTCCCATTTTTATGGCTTTTATATTCTAATACAACATGCAATAAGTATCAGGTGGCCAAATAAATGATTGCATCAGAGCAATAATTAGTTTCTCTTTGTATTGTTCCATTTACCCCCCAATAAATTCACCTTTCTCTTTTAAGCAAAAGAGAGCAATACTTTGATGCAAAATTCATCATTGTGACTTACTTTCACAGGTAGGAGGGCTTGGACTCCAAACACCTATTGTTTTATTCTCCACAGTGCAGGAAATGGAGGCTTGGCCCACGAGTGAGAAGCGGGAGTCACAGCTGTAGGTGACAGAAGAGCCATATGTGTACAATTCTGCTTGAGAGCTGTGCCTTCCATTTTTGATGTCTGGAGGGGGCTCACACTTGACAACTGAGGTAAGTGAGTGAAGAGAAAGAAATACTCAGGGAAAGCATGGTGATAAATCAAAATTTGGGCAAATTCTAATGAAAGGTACACATACCTGTAAAGATGCAGAGGGACTTTATTACCTAACAAAGTTTAAACTGATAGTCAAGTCAGAAAAGTTTTACTTACTTTCACATTGTGGGAGAGGATGGCTCCAGTCAACTCCTCTATCTTGGAGTGCACAATGACTAGTGGTTGAGCCAATTAAGAAATATCTGAATAAGATAGATCAAAGACTTTAATGGAATTCCTCCTACCCTAAATTAAATTAAAGCAATCTGAGTAAATAGAATTGTTACTCCTTGTTAAAATAAACAAATCATATTTTCTTGAATATCATTTTCCATTGAGCACTCTATTCAGTAAAATTTCATCACTGCAATGAGATGTCTGCGCTTGTTCCTTTGTACCCTCATTGCTTAATCTGTTACTGAGAATCTACTAGGGATCAGGAATGCAGTTCATCCAGACCTCAAGCACAACAATTAAAGGCTCACCTGAGTGTGTTCAGTGGTTGTCTTTGGTTGAGAGTACCAACTAGAACTCTAAAGTAAATGTCACCTTCAGCAATATAAGAGCCCGTGGAATTTATTGAACAATAACTTCAAGAAAAACATATCTGAACTACAACTACAATTACGTATTTCTTTACTTTAAATTTTCTTTAAAATGTAGTTTTTCCAACCTAGCCAAGAGACTAAGTACAAAATATTGTTTCCGATTGTTTCAGTGGGAACACCTTAGTGTTCCAACAGCATCTTAGTTCTGAATCTTTTCACTCTCCCTCATGGGAGCCATATACAATAAGGAAAACAGAGGATAAAAATGCGAAGATCAACAAAAATGAAACAAAGGGAAAAGATAAGAGAAAACTAATAGATACAGATGTCACACAAAAGAGGATCAACATATGCTTCATTGGATAACCTAAAGGAGGAATCCAAGCAGAACAAAATAGCTTTTTAAAAATTTATTTTGGGCCAGGTATGGTGGCTCACACCTGTAATACCAGCACTTTGGAAGGCTGAGGCAGGTAGATTCCTTGAGGCCAGGAGTTCAAGACCAGCCTGGCAAACATGGCAAAACCCCATCTCTACTAAAAATACAAAAATTAGCAGAGTGTGATGGAACACACCTGTAGTCTCAGCTACTTGAGAGGCTGAGATGGGAGGATTGCTTGAGCCCAGGAAGTTGAGGCTGCAGTGAACCATGATCGGGTCACTACACTCCAGCCTGGGCAATGGGAGTGAGGCCTTACCTCAAAAAAATATTATTTCAAGTAAATGTTACTAAAATAAAATAATACTTCAATCTACATATTAAAATTGCACATCACTTAGCAGCAAAAAAATTAAACCAAATGATTTCTATCAAAACAACTAAAAGTATTAGGTTTCAAAGATAAAGAATAATATCTTTGGATAGGCAAACAAAGATCAAGCCATGTGAGAAGAAATTCAGATCAGATCAGAGAAGAAATTCAGATGCTTTGCTAGCATCCACTAGCAAAAGACAGTGCAGCAGTTACTATAATGCATCCAAGAAAAGAAAGGATGAGCCAAAGACCATAGAAAGCTCCATTATCTTCTAGGTATCAATGCCTCAGATAGATTACCTGAACCTGCAAGAACTCAAAGAATAATTTTTACTTGGAACTTTTTTTTGGAAACCACCATAGGACAAATTATAGCCAACCAAGAGATGACAATGACAACTTTAGCCAAAACAAACGAAAATGGTAGCAAATATTGTACATGCAGATCTAAGACCAAAACAAATGTGAGTTTAAGTGTGACTGAAGTAAATATAAACGTTATATGCTCAGGCAGCATTGAAGTAGTATAACTAACAAAAAATAGAGGTAGGGAAGACAGGGTAAAATAAAGCAAACTCCCTTATTCCTGATCATTTGCAAGATTGGGAGTGAAAGTAACCATAGACACATGTGAGTATTTCACATTAATGTTAAATACAAAATAAACACTACGATAATACAAATGATGCAAATTTTCTGGTAGGGAAGAGAGAAAGGATGAAGGGAGTGGAAAGAATACAAGATAAGTTTATTGTTGTTTATAGCAAGGAACCAACTTAAACTATCTAAAGGTAAAGAGGAGTGATAGTATTATATAAATTTAAATGTATATAGGTAACCACTAGAACCAAATTTGAACCTTCTTAAACACCACTATATATTTAAACATATATATTACAAAATATGACAAAACCATGTCTATAAGTACCATTCACATCAATATATGTAATTAGGCTTAAAATGCCTAATGCAGGAAAAACAGCTTTTATTTGAAGCAAAATTCAGCTCTATGTTACATACAGGAGACAAACCCAAAAGTGTTTTAGACAGATTAAAAAAAAGGCAGGATAAAATTATACCAAAAAATGCAAATCAAAACAAAAGCAAAGATAATAATTTTAATATCCCATAAGTTGGACATCAGAACCAAGACTATTAAATTACACAAAAATGGATACTTTACATGTTAAATAAAGATTTTGATTTTCAGTGAAGAGCTATGAATCTTTGTGTACCAAAATATGTATGTAGCAGCAATTTTAATAAGACAGAAATACATGAGACATAAGAAAAATGATCAAAATATGTTACTAATTGTCACTAAATTATTTTATTATAAAATAAAATTATTTTATTATAAAATTGTTAATTTACTTTAACTCTTATCTTCATGTTTAAGATCTGTGAAGACAAGCATAATAAAAGATTCAAAACAACTTATCAAGAAAGTAGACCTGGCTGGGCACAGTGGCTCATGCTTGTAATTCCAGCAGTTTGGAAGGCCAGAGAAAGAGAATCTATTGAGCCCAGGTGTTCTTGACCAGCCTGAGCAGCATAGCAAGACCTCATCTCTACAAAAATTAAAACTTTAGCCAGGCATCATGGCACATGCCTTTAGACCCAGCTACTCAGAAGGCTGAGTCAGGAGGATTGCTTGAGCCAGGGCAGTCCAGCCCACAGTGAGCCAAGACTGCACCACTGCATTCTAGCCTGTGTGACAGAGGGAGACCCTGTCTCAAAAAAAGAAAGAAAATCTGATGTGTATATAGAAAACTCTATATACTACTAATAAAAAAAATCTTTCAAGTGCCTGTTGAAATATTAATAAAAATTAGTTGTATATCATGACCCACCCTAAACCTCTGTAAAACATAGAAATAAGTAACATTCTTGGTTGATCTAGAAGTCTTTTTTTTTTTT